TTGAGATTATTTTCTTTTGACGATTACTTTTCATAGTTAATTTTTTAAATTCAGCATGCGATTCATCAAAAGCAGTTTGTAATTCATCAAAAGTAAATGAGTCATCATTTACATCATTTTCATCTTCAAGTGCCATCAAGCATAGATTTGCGACTTCATTTTTGCCAATATCAGCCTCTGAGTCGTTATCATCACTGTCTTCTCCCCATGCTACGATCATGGCTTTCTTCTTGTCCTTCTTGAATTGTTTCTTGAGCTTTGGACATTCTGATTTGTAATGTCCCGGTTTGTTACATTCGTAGCAAGTAGCTTTAGATTTTTTATGATTTTCTCCTTTTTGAAAATCTTTGTTGAAATCTTTTTTGATTCCTTACACCTTGTTTTTTTTTCACTAATCTTTTGAACCTTTTGGTAATGAAAATCATTTCTTCATCTTCCTCCGGAGCATCTTCTTCTTCCTATTGAGATTTTGAGGTGGACTTGAAAGTTATCCCCTTCTTCTTATTCTTGTCTTCTTCTTCTTTTCCTTCTTGCATAATGATCTCATGGATTAGGAGAGATCTCATTAATTCATCAAGACTTAATGTTAACAAGTCTCTTGCTTCTATCATTGCTATAACTTTGTTCTCCCAACTTTTTAGCAATGATCGGAGAACTTTATTAACAATTTCTGCATTAGTATAAGTCTTCCCAAGAGATTTTAAACTATTTATAATATCTATAAAGCGAGTGAACATTTGGGATATGTTCTCATCAGGTTTTATCTTGAAGAGCTCAAAATTATGAACAAGCAAACTTACTCTAGACTCTTTGACTTGAGTAGTTCCCTTATGAGTTACAATATGTTTATCCCAAATTCTTTCGCCATTGTACAAGTGCATATTATGTTAAACTCAATAACATCAAGTGCACAATACAACATATTAACAGCTTTGGTATTGTATTAAATATCTTTATAATCAGCATTAGTCCACTCACTCTCAAGTTTGGGAACTAACAGATCATCTATGGTTTTGGTGGGGACTTTAGGACCATCACAAATGATTTTCCAAACCTCATAGTCGATAGATTGGATATGCACAATCATATAGGTTTTCCAATAGTTGAAATTTGTGCTATTGAAGAAGTGTGATCTATTTGAGGCTTGACCTTCAAGAAGAGAGAAGCTACGGGTTGCCATAAATCACTCTAAGATGGTTAAGTCACAATACTAGAGACGAGGCTCTAATACCAATTATTATACATGAAGGCAACCCAAGAGGGGGGTGAATTGGGTTATTAAAAATTTGACCAAAAAATAGATTTCAAAAAACTAAGGATTAAATACAGATGACAGTCAATGAATACATAGAAAATATAAAAGAGAGAAGGAAGAAGACAACACAAAAATTTATAGTGGTTCGGCTCATTGGCCTACGTCCATTCCTCAAGAGACCTTCTTGAGAATTTATTCACTAAGAATCAATGCACCACAAAGTTTCACCTACCTTGTGAATTTTTACAAAGGACTTACTTCAATCTGTTGAGGATCTCTCAATTAAATGCCTCACTTTACAAGTGTTTCACTCAGAAAATAAGGAACAATAATAAGAGGTACAACTGTCCTCTTTTATAAATATTATCTCTTAAAAGATGGATATGAAAGTGTAAGCTCACAGGTAATTTAAGACTTACTCAGATGTGAAAATGGAAGTACAATAGAGTATGTTAAAAGCTTTTGATTGCTCTTGAATGCTCTAGGTTTGTTATATTGAAGAAGTGTTTTCATCGAACCAAGAGAGCTTCATTTTTATAGCATTTATGGCTTCTACCTGTTGAAGAGAGGAGATTTGAATCTCCTAGCCGTTGGAGCATATCAATGAGGATTCTTCTAGCTGTGTTTGACTATGGAGAAGGCAGACTGTATGCAAGTCTTGGGAAGAGAAGGATCATTAAATGCACAAGTTTTTATTTAATGTTCAACCTTATAAGTCAACTTCTTGGAGAAGATATGGTGCTAGAAGATCTGCTTAGGGGTCAGAAAAGATGACATATTCTGCATATAAATCTGAAAAAGTGGCTGAGAAAAGGACTATGTTGATCCAAATCTGATTTGGCAGGTGGGATTTTTTAAACCCAGATTTACAGATGTCGACCTCTGGAAATTAGGTGTCAACCTTTTGCTCTCTTCTTTTCTCTGAGTTGAGTTCCAGGTGTTCCTAGTGTCGACCCTTATCTTTCTTAGTGCCAACCCTTGCTGCTGGATTGCATTCTGAAATTTAGTGTCGATTCTTGTTATTCTTGGTGTCGACCCTTACTGCTGAATTGCACACTAAAATTTAGTGTTGACTCTTACTGTTTTGGTGTCGACCCTTACTTCTAGAACACTTAGACATTTTAAACTTCACTCTAGTGTCAACCCTTACTATTTTGGTGTCGACCCTTTGACCTGTTGCAAGTATAAATAGAATTTTGCAAACAAGTGCTAATCTCATTTTTTGAAGGGTTACAAAACCATTGAAAAACAACACTCTAGAATCATATATCTTCTAGAATTATTGAAGCACAATTTGTATACTATTATTTTGAAAACTTTGAATAATAAAATGAATTCTAAATATTTGTCAATAATCAAAATCAATAAGAATTTAAATTTGAATAACTTTAGGGCTAACATTCTTGATGGGTGTTGAAAGATAAATGATTCAAATTATGAAAATAAACTACATAAGCTGATAATAATAAAAGTGTACTGTCCAATCCATCTATATGGACCAGAGAAAGTTTTGTAATTTGAATGGTTAATTTGTAAGATTGTGCACATCATTCACGAAAAGAAGTGTATTTAAAAAAAAATGTAATAAAACAAATAAATTATAATCATTCTATTAACTTAATTTTTTATAAATAATATGTAAAAATGATCTTACAAAATTAACAGAAGCATGACCTCTGATCGGCTTCACAGGCCTAAAAAGCACCATTTAGTTTAGATTATGGATTAGAGAACTCCACTTTCTTTATGTTTAGAAAAATTCCAATATACACCCTTTTAATAAAGGTGTATCATATGTACCATTAGTTATGATATTTTTTTTTTAGTTATGACTCATGCGTTATTTAGTTATATCTAATGTTATTTTCAATTATGACTTTTTTTATTTTTAGTTATGATTCAAAAAATTGAAATTATACCATTTTTTTATGGATAAACTACCAATAGGTCCTAATAGTTAGACTTAATTCCCATAAAGTCATGTTGAAAAAGTCTTAGTAAAATCGTCTCTAAAAATAATTTTTTGTGATGATTTTTTACATATGTTACTAAAAATTGATAATTAGTAACTTTTTTTTGTTACGATTTTTATAAATTATCACTAAAACTTAAAATTAGTGATGTTTTTCTATGATAGATTTTTCAAACTGTCACTGAAAGTTAAAAATTAGTGACTTTTTTGTGATAATTTTCAAATGGCGAAATACACTAACAATCCCTATAGTTTGGGACTTGTATCACTTTAATCCCTGACTTTTCAATTATGATACATTTGACCCAAAATTTTAAATCTTGTTTCAAATAAGGACAATTAAAGATACCATTGTTCAATTTCAAGAGAAAAATTGTCAATTTGATAAAATATAACTAATTTGACAAAAATAAATATCAAAGAATTATTTTAAATTTTTAAAAATTAATTTTACCGACCAAAGATAAAATTATATAAAATTGATAAATTTTTTACATTTTTATTCTTTTATTTTTTTACCAAATTAATTTTTATTATGTGTTTGGATGATGATCATGTAATGGGTGGTTGTTAAGCTTTTAACGTGTAATTGATATATTTAATATATGAAATGTTTTTAGTTTTAGATTTTTTGATTTAATGGGTTGATTTAATAATGATATCAAAGTTGTCGCCATATTTTACTTTTAAAAAAATAGAAACTAATTTAATGAAAATAAAAACTACCATTCATTACATGATCACCATCCAAACACATAATAAAAATTAATTTGATAAGATAAATAAATGTGTAAAAGATTTATCAATTTTACATAATTTGATCTTTGGTAAGTATAAATAATTTTAAAAATTTAAAAATATTTTTTTGACATTTATTTTTGTCAAATTAATTTATATTTTATCAAATTGACGACTTTATCTTTGAAATTGAATAATGGTATTTTCAATTGTCCTTATTTGGAATAAGATTCAAAATTCAAGATCAAATGTACCACAATTGAAAAGTCGGAAAGCAAAGTGACACAAACTGCAAACTATAAGGACCATTAGTGTAATTTGCTCATTTTTAAATTATCGTTGAAAATTAATAATTCATGATATTTTTTAATAGTGTTTGATAAAAAATATTATTAATTATTATAAGATCTATTGGATAATAAATTTACCTTTTAAAATTTACACATAAATCTCTATTTTTTTAATTATAAGTATGTATGATGCATACCTTTTAAAGAATATGAATCATAATATTTTCCGTATGTTTATAATATTTATTATTTATCATAAATTTGGATCATATATATTATTTTTTAATAAAATTTTAAATATTTAGATCTAGTTTTTAGCTTTTAGAGAGAAAATAAATAAATAAATAAAAATAAGAGAAACCAAACCTTGGCATTGTGAAAGTGAAGGAATAAAATAAAGTGTGATAGTATTTGGACAGCAACGCAAAGAAACAAAATCCAACAATAGAGGAACCACCTACTCGCGGAGACACGGAGCCGCTCTTTTGCCCCCACCCCCATCACCTTTGGAAAACGAGAACACTCCCCAAACCCAAACCCAAACCCCCTGTTGTCATCACCACCATCACCACTACACCAACTAAAATAATACTGGTTAGCTTCTCCAACCATGGTTACCTTTTTAACCTCAGTTGAGTTAACCCCCCTCCAATAATTCTAACAAAACATTTCTCCACATATACAACCCCACCTGCACACCCCTCCTCTCCTCTCTATATATCTCCTTCTACCTCCTCACCCTTCAAGCCTCTCTTCTTCTTCTTCTTCTATTTTCATTAATTTCTTCGATTTGGAGTCGGAATTATTACCAGAATCTGACGTTTCATGTGCCGTGAGATGAGTTGCAACGGTTGTCGAGTTCTTCGGAAGGGTTGCAATGACAATTGCATACTGAGGCAATCAATTCAAGGTATTGAAACCTCTCAAGCTCAGGCTAACGCCACCGTCTTCGTCGCCAAGTTCTTCGGCCGCGCCGGCCTCATGTCCTTCCTCTCCTCCGTCCCCGACTCCCAACGACCGGGTCTGTTTCAGTCCCCCCCCCCCCCTCTCTCACTCTCTCTCTCTCTATATATATAAGGATGTGTATATTGTTTAGATTCTGATGATGACGATTTTGCGATCTCTATATACAGCTCTGTTTCAGTCTCTGTTGTTTGAAGCGTGTGGACGGACTGTGAATCCCGTGAACGGAGCCGTCGGACTGTTATGGACGGGGAACTGGCACGTGTGCCAGGCGGCGGTGGAGACGGTGCTCCGAGGCGGAGCCCTACGGCCAATTCCGGAGTTTTCCGGCGCATCTCCGGCTGACGAATTTGACGACGCCTCAAACACTAACAACCACAACATCGATTTCTTCAGATCCAGAGATCTGTATTTGGCTCGTAAAGCGAAGAATAACAATGAGTTGATGATCACAGCGAGACAGCAACCGGCCAGCGGCGATCTGGATGACTTTCCGGCGAGGATGAGGGCGAAGCGGAGGGCGGAGACGCCGTCGTTGAACTCGGAGGAGTCCGAAACGACGACGTTGGAGAGCGAGCGGTTCGGGTTTACAAGGAGGAAGCGAAACGAAGGTTCTTAGATTGTTCTTCTAATAATTAACGAAAGAAAGAAGTAAAGAAAGAGTCTTCTTTCTCTTTGGAGATTGGGTATAAAATTTACCGGCTACCGGAATCCAGGGTCATAACAGCTTGACCTGTAATAGATTTTTCTTTTTTCAACAAAAATTAAATTAACTTGTTTTTTTACTTTTAGGTAATTCCCGGTGATAGAAGCTGGCGAGTATTGTTGAGGAGGAGGAGGTGGTGGTCTCTTGGCACTTGTTTAAATTTTAACTCATATCTTAATCTTATGATATAATAGTTGAATTTTGATTGAATGTTAATTTTAAAAAGTATTCTTTCAATTGACACATTACTAATTGGACTTTTTTTTTTTTTTCAATTGACTAATTATGATATTTTTACTTTTATAAAAAAATCAATCATAGAATTAAATACAATCTTATCACACAAGTTCAAATCTATAAAAAACTAAGATCCACTCCATGTGAAAAAATTATATCCGATTTTATGAATAATTTTTATTTTCGTTGGATTTTTCAGCAACAACAATGTCAAGGATCACATTTGTTATACTTTACCCACAATATTACTTTGGAAGATGTTATCGGTTCTAAATTTTCTACTAAATAAATAATCAAATATCTTATATAGGTGCGGAGTCTATATTTTTATTAATCTCACACTCATGTGAGACATTTAGTCATTTATTTAATAAATTTTTTTTATATCTCTAAAATTACTCTATTACTTTTATTATTTACTGTTGGCGGGTTACATACCTCACTTGGTGCAGCATCCCTATTGTGAATTTGTGAGGATGTACTTTCATTTCACTGGTCTATGTGAGTAGATTATTCACGAAAATAATTATATTGATTCGATGATATTAAACATATACTTTCATCATGCTTTCCTCATAAAATAAAAAATAAAATGAAAAGATGCATAATCTGAATTATTCATTTTGTTAGTTCATTTCATTGTCCGTGCGTCTAAAATATTTATAAAAAATTAAATTGATTGTATAATTATATTTGTCTTTAAAAAAATAAATGATTTAGTTTTAAAATTATACTTATTATTTATTTGTTAGAAAGATAAATATATTTAAACCCTCATACTATAATTATTGAATCAATTTAATTTTTTTATATCTAATTTCAAAACAAATTGGATTGGGTTTGTGTATAGAGCACTAAATAGAAAAGAAATGAGAATACAAATCAAAGTTGCCAATACCTACCCATAGAAATGATTGTTGACAATGCCAAACTCATAATTTTAGTGAACATTGACTTCTTTTTTCTTTTTCTTCGTTTTTTTGGGTTAAAGGTGAACATTCACTTTGATATGTAATACGTTAAACACATTGAAATGATGGGTGACGATGCACAACTTATAATTTTAGGTCATGTTGGTTGGGCGGACTGGATTAGCATTTTCATGACTAATAGTCTACGATTACGAATCCGTTGAATTATTTATCCTACCTTAATTAATAATCAAGTTTAAAATAATTAGTCCGTACTTCAATTGTTTAACCAAACATCGGATTAATAATTTTATTAAACTATTAATCCAATTCCAAGCTCATGTCCATCTAAATAAACATGACCTTAGTGAACATTGACTTCTTTTTTCTTTTTCTTCGTTAAACACATTGATTGTATGACCTACGTGCCATAGTTGTTCAAATGTAAAAACACTGCTATAATGATGCTTCAATTTTCACCAATCTCTAGTCTAGTCTAAGAGCCTGTTTATTTTTAGAAGTAGAATAGTGGAGATTTATAATGAGGGACTTATTAGTTAGTGAGGGGATTGATAGTGAGGGGATTACATAATATTGTATTTGTTTTGATGATATTTGTTAGTGTAGGAATTGTTAAATTATTTTTATATAAAATAATAAAACAAATAAAAAAATATAAAAAATTAAACATTTATGTTTAAAAAAAAATTCCAATATGTAAAAAATATAAATAAATAAAAAATTCTAATCCCCTCATTATTTTTCTAATACCACCTCCACCTCCTCCATCCCAATCCCCCTTCCAACCTCCATCTTAATCCCCTCCTCCGTTCTAATCCCTTCCCCAACTCTACAAACAAACACAACACTAAATAACCCCACTTCTATTCTAATCTCTTCCCATCTATTACACCCCAGAACAAACGGGGCTTAAGGGGTTTGAATCTTTGGGTTGGTTTGGGATGTTCTAAAAAAGTGTACTTTTTGATTTATTGGCTTATATGGATTGAGTTTGGGTTGGATTTGATATGATGTGTTAGAAAAGTGATGTGATTTAAATAAAATGATGTGAGTTAAATAGAATAGTGACTTTTTGACTTTTTATATTATTTAATAGATGCCAAACTTGACCTTTGTTTATTCAAAACAAGTACCACATTGGAGTGCATGTGTGCTTGAATTTTTTCTTTTTTATACTATATGATATTAATAAGTTAGTAAAAAAATATTACACAATTGGTAGAGTGAAAAAAAATATGAAACTCTTGATATTAGTCTATTCATCTTACTTAAAATCAATCTTCAAAATCTTCTTTTGCTCGAAAATAAATTGTTTCTTATATTTGAAACAATATGATCATGTATCAAAATAATACAGTTACACCATATTGTCATGTTCCAAAAAGTTGCTTGAGTTGAGAGAATCAGAGTCATTTTTGTTGTCCATGAAATTTTTGACATATTTTGTATTTGCCAAATTTTTATGTCTTAGTCTAGCTCATGGTTTTGATTCTCTAAACTAACACCCCACATTTGGAATAGGGTGGTAGTCATCAAAGATGCTAATATATTCCCTTTTCTTTTCTAACCACAAATTAATTTAGTTATTTCAAATCATCAAATTTCTATGATATTTTGTGAGATAAATGTTGATAGATAAATGCGGATTTGATCAGTTTTGATAAGGACTTCAAGTATATATGGCTCTCCTACCCTCTCTATGAATTTTATAGTACTTGTTTTGAAATAATAAAAATAAAATGAATCAGTGTGTTTTATTTAAGTTTTTTGGATTAAATTTTTTAAAAATTGAGTTTTTTGATTTTGGTATTTTTTTTAGTGAATATTTTTAAAATTTTAAACATTTTTTTTTTACTTTTTTAGATGCATTTTACTAAGATGTATCTAAAAAGTAAAAAATTTATAAAAAAAATATTTTAAAAAATTAATAAATACATAAAAATACAAAAAAATGTACAAATTTTCATATTTTTTTTTGTAATTTTGATATTTAGTGAATTTTTAAAAGGTTTTTTTCATAAATTTTTTACTTTTTAGACATAAAAAAAAATTGTTTAAAATATTAAAAAAAAATTAGTAAAAACAAACAAAAAAAAAACGAAAAATAAGAAAGTAGAATTTTCTGTAAAGTATTTTTGAAAAAATAGAACCAAGCATAATGAATGGTATTGATATATATATATATATATATAAACAGATCTCGTTTGGAATTATTTGTTTTAGTTGATTTTTTTATTTTTTACAAAAATATATAAAGAAAATAAAGAAAATGATGTGACAACTTAAAATGACTTTTTGACTACAAACTTATGTTGCCAAATGAAACCTAAATATTATGCACATAATATTGTTGGCACCATAAATCTGTAATTTTTTGCAGGACACATGACATCCTCTTATTCATTTGGAAGTTAAAAGAAGTTATAGGGATGATGGAGAATATGAAGGATAAAGTGGATGAATGGAAGGACACGTGACATGACAAGAATAAAGATGGAAGAAATGGGTAGTTACTAAGTAGTTATTGCTGTATTTTTTCCTCTATAAATAGTCACTAATGGCTACATTGTAAAAGGATCCAGAACTCAAATCAAAGACACTTGATTTCAATATTTCTTGTCATTTTCTTTATCTTAGGAGTAGTTCAACATAAATTTATATTTCAAACATTTATTTTCAGCATTTCCACTTCGAAGCATTTTATGCACTTCCTTTTCGAAGCATAGGAGTAGAGGTAAGTAACTATTACTTTGATTGTTCACTCAATCGTCTTTCTCCGTTCCCCATTCTTCTTTTAATTTTTCTTTTCTTTACACTTGGCAATCTTGAAGTCCTCTTCGTTGAGGCAAAAGAACCGTCAACACAATCGCTTGATAATTGGCTTGAATCAAATGTCACTAAACTAAGAAAATGTTGTAGTGTAAGTAATTATTACTTTGATTGTTCACTCAATCGTCTTTCTCCGTTCCTATTTCTTCTTTTACTTTTTCTTTTCTCTACACTTGACAATTTTGAAGTCCTCTTCGTTGAGGCAAAAGAACCGTCAACACAATCTCTTGATAATTGGCTTGAATTTAATCTGTAAGGATTTTTCTATCCTTACTGGCACGCTCGCATTTATGATATTTTCCTTCGTAGGAAAAATAAGCCAACAAATATGTATGTTCGGTCTCTTTTTTTTTTTTTTCTTTTTCTTTTGGGGTTAAAACTAGAACATGCTCTAATTAAGATGAGAGTTTACAAGTTCATGGATACTTCCCCTAACATCATCATCAAGTGGTTGAAAAAAAATACAAATTAAAGTGGAGAAAAAGTGTGCCCTTTGCTCAGCTCAAGGGCCTCGTTGATTAAAATGTCATGCACTTGTTTCCTTCTCTAATTCTATATTTATTTATTTATTTGTCATATATCAATATGTATTTTTTTTGTTATTTTATGTGAGAATTTTGTGCTCTTGACCTTCTTTTTTTAAAATTTTTTTTACCAAAAGCCATACTTTGGTTTGGAAAATAGGTAAAGGCCATATATGAATTGAATCATGATGTCTCAACCACCATCTTTTTAACCTTATTTAGCTAAACATAGCCAACCTACTCTTCCATTGTGTACCCATACATAGCCCTTTGGAGACAGATGCCTTTTTATCTTATCTTTCTAACTGATAAAATAGAGAGAGAGAGAGAGAGAGAGATTTGCAACCTTGTGATGAAAGAATAAGAATGCCTTTTTATCTTATCTTTCTAACTGATAAAATAGAGAGAGAGAGAGAGAGAGAGAGAGAGAGAGATTTGCAACCTTGTGATGAAAAAAAAACTTTGGCTTAGTGTAATAGGTGACTCCTTACAACGAGTAATGTCTGAATTTAATCTCTCACTGTCATGTTATGCAACTTCTTCATCGCTTATTTTTTTCTTATTGATTGTAAAAATAATAAAAATAAAAATACCCAAACAAAAATTAAATTGCAACTCTAAGTAATTGTTTGGAATGTGATATATAAGTGTATTTCTTGATTTTTTTGGTTAAAAAGGAAGATAAAAA